GTACATGCAGTACAAGATGGGCAGGATTGCAAAATAAATAGCCAGAACTAGAGCTGGCCCAAAATGTCCTTTTAAGCTTTGAAACAGGTGCAGAACCCGTGGCCTGCGCTGCTGTGGGAACTCTGTCCAGCATTTCCCTTGTTAGTATTAGTGCTTAATAGGCAACGCCTGGGACTTCCCTTTCTGGCTCTACTACTGCCTGCAAGGGAAGTCCTTCACTTACTTCCAGAGTCTTCTGGGAAAACAAGAGAAAGGGAAAAAGAATGGGAAAGGGAAAGACACACCTGTCTGCAGGAGGAGAAGTGTCTGTAGGTGCGCGTGCACAGACCTGCAGCAACTGGCATCCTGGCGGACACCCAGTGGGACCCTCGGGGCTGAAAATGTTGTAGCCCCATGCTTCAAAACGCAAGCAACCCTGTCTATTATTATCTGAACTCTTCTCAGGAAATGGGTAAGTTTACTTTAGTATTTTATTTGCATTCTGTCTGTAGTTTAAGTTTTGTCTGTGTGGCTTTTTAACCTCATAGCCCCTCTGTGAGGTGGGTTAGACTAATGCATTCTTAATGCCATGAAAAAGCCTGGTCCAAATGTTCCACTGTATCACAGCATTACATTGGATGAATGGAAACGGATCTTGTGTGTTTCGCCTGCCACAATTTGGTATACCAATACGTATCTTACCTCACTGGACAAAATGAATATTGTGAAGTACAATGTAAGTTAAGGCTGTGGTATAAATTGTTAGTTACAGCCTAAAACTGGCTCAGAGTAGATTTGGCTTTTTTGCTTTGTTGACAGTTTTATATGAAAGGGGTGATGCTGCAGTTTTCATCTGCTAGGTGGAAGCTTAATAAGTTTTTCCACCTGGTGGATCTTGTTGATTTCAGTTCTTATGGTCTGCTTTTTTCTGGGATTGCCATGCATGTGGAGGTTTGACAGGATAAGGATTTTAAAGTATGGACTGAGCTATGATGCCCCATCTGAAGCCACTAGGAATTGTCAGAATCTGAAAGGACTTCAGGGTTGGGGATAGTAATTTTCTAAGAGTGGTGACAAAATGCCAAAGAAGCTGAGCAACCAAGATCCTACCCAGTGTGTTTCTGTACTGAAGGTCTTGGAGTTATCTGTAAACACTGCCTATAATGTTTTTGGAACAAGCTCCATGGACAGAGGCATTTAGCAGTGAGTCATCCACGTGCTTTTTCAACAAGTGTGTAAGAAAGGGAGGACCCCCTAGTTAAGTGGATGGCAGATCACTTGTTTTGGACAGAGAACATTCCAAGTTCAATCTTTAGTTTAAGAAGATTTCAGGCAGCAAGCCAGAGAAATGCCACCATTGAAAACCTTGGAGAGCTATTTGCAATCTGTGTAGACAGGACTGGGTCAGGACTGGGTCAACAGACAGCACTGGGTCAGTACTGGCTAGCTGGATATAAGACAATGTCATTTGTGAACCAGGAGGCAGTCTTCTGCTAGTTTCAGCTCATAGGATTGTCCACACATTTCAACAAACCCCTCTTTCCTTTCAGAGACTATGGCAGCATACTATGATCCTCAAAATGTGTAAAAAAAAAACCTCAGCTCTGAGCCCCCTAAAGTTAGTCTCACACTGAGTGTTGGTTAAGATACAATCACACTTCTAGTAACAATCCAAATAAAGAAAAGAGAAGAAGGGGTACCATTGCCAAATGCAATGAACTGGGAGATATTTGGTTTAATGTGATGCATGATTCAGGTTTAATACACAGTGAACTCATACGAATTCTGAACTATTAGCTAATTTCAAACTTCCCACTTGTGTGAGTGAAGAGATGCATCCACACTGTCACAGGAAATCTTCCATAGGTGTGTTGAAACACAACTTGCTGCCGGTCACCCCCAGAAAGACATGCTGTAGATATAGTTGTCTTGCCTGGTATTCTTCTCATTTCCAGGATTAAATGGAAGACCAGCCAAACATGCTTCAGTGCATTTTACACTTCTCTTGTCAACAAAATATTGTACAGACAAGTTCAGATGTAGCTAAGACGGGTGGCCAGGTGGAATTTAAATTCCAAAACAGTGCACAATTTGAATGCCTTGTGGGGAGAGGAACATGACTGAGCAGATAAAGAGCTGCCCATTTTTGCAGTGAGATGCCAGTGGAGCATTTGGAGACCCTTTGTTGCTGGATTGATTGTTCTCTATAGGGGTCCTTATTAATCCATCCATCCATCCATCCTGCTTTTTTCTCTATAGGGCGGTTCTGAAAGTGTAGCAACCCAGCATGCCAGCGATGACCATTGTGGTCCTGTGCAGAAGGTTGGACCAGACTGGGCTAAATGCCAACTGAGCCATCCAGCCTGTCGGGAAAGGGGAGTGTAGGCATGCCGCTATCGCTCCCAGCCCAAGCTTCCTCACCAGGTTGTGATTTGGTTTTGAATTGCACATTAGCCAAGGGCTACTAGGAATACACTGTTGCATGCAGTTAGACTGGAGTGGGTTGTACCGGCTTGATCACCTACATCAGGCAGTCCTCCTGAAGGTGAATGGTTTCACCTAAAATGCCCCGGTGGTTCCAGGTTCTGGGAGGAAATCTCGGCCCAGTGCCGTTAGTACTCTTTCTTCCCTGAATGCACCCATTTCCCCCCATTGCCTGCCTTTTCCCTCTGTGCTAATCAACACCACTTCACAGAGAAGAGGGAGCGAACAAGGTGTATAAAGATGGTTGCCCCTTCCTCTCATTCCTCTTTCTGATCACTCACTCAGGCAGAGCAGGCAGCAACAGGGAGGAGGAGGAGGTTGCAGAGCCTGGCAGTGAGCAAATGCCCCGATACCCGCTTGTATGTGCCAACTGCTCCACCAAAAGAATCTGTTGCGTGTTAAAAGGGGGGGGGGTATAGAGGCTCCTCAGAGCATACGAATTGTCCTGGTGGATGAGACCATTTCGTACTACTACAGCTGTGTTCTGTACTGAGTATGGGACGGGAACAGATGACATCCGTAGTACCTGTCAGCTCTATACTTCTGCACATGCTCCTGTTTCGACCAACAGTAAGCCACTAGGAGCTTATCAGGAAGCCATGCATAGTTCCTTGTTATTATTCCAAAGCAGCTGGTATTGAGAGAGATCTAAAGGGTCTTTCAATGGACTACCTCAAGACAGAGAAATTTCATTTACCTTTCATGGCTGATGATCATTGAGCAATGTGGCCTCCATGAATTTGTCTAATCCTTTCAAATGAGCATCAAAGCTCCCCAGTCAAGACTGCAAAGCCTTACATCATCACGAACCTGCAAAATGAACAATTTGCAGTGAATCTGTCAAGGTTCCATATGGCAATCAATTAGGCTTGAATGATTCCCTATGGAGAAAGTCTTCAAATGCTTGGGTCATGTCATACAAATCGATTTTTAGTGCTCCCCCCCCCCACAGTCCATGATACAGCTAAAGTAAAAAGCATTAGCCAATAGGCATTAGCGGGGCCTGCAACAAAATGTTGAAAGCAATGCTCTCGTCCATCGAAATGCCCCATTGCCCTCCCCTCCAGTTTCCCTTTTCCCTGTCCCACTGCTCAGCATTCCATGGACACTCCGTGTGTTCAGTCCTTATTGGAGAAGTGGAGGTATGTTCCTGCTAGAGAACTTTGCACCTTTGTAAGCTGCAGGGTTCCCACAAGCATCTCTCGTATATATGGATGTTTCCATTTTGGCTACATAAGCACTGGCACTAAGACCCAAACATTAGAATTAGAAGGAGCAATACAACTGGATCCAATTTATTCCAGCTAAGACTGAGAGTAGAATTTGTCCTGAGTTCTCTGCTCAGCCATTTAAAGCCTATTAGATGGCCTTGGACAAGTCCCAATCCACCACCCACAGGCTCCCTAACTGTAACAGGGGAATAAGTAATCAGTTTTGTTGCTAGATTGTTGTGACAGTTAATGCGATAAGGGCTGTGAAGCACTTTGAATGCTTAGAGTTGGACAGAAATGAAGACTACTAGCTTTTTCCATTCTTATACTCTGTACTCTTTTAAATTATCAAAATTTCAAGTCCTACAGGTTTTTCTATAAGAGGAACAGTGAAAGCAAAATGAGAGCTAGCTATTGGCCTGTTGGAAAAATACTGTGAATTCCTAGCATTCTTTTCTTTAACATGTTTACTTTTAATCAGGGTATTATTTAGGATTAACACAAGTAATTGCTTCAAGCTCATTTAAGTTTGAGTTTAATGAAAGCAAATTACCTCCTGCAGATTGCAGGAAACTCTCCTCCTCCCTCCACAGAAAAGAAATGTATTCATTTGCAAGAAACAAAAGTTGAAATCATTAGAAGCATTAAGTAGCTTTCCCACTACCTCTTCCCGAGTTGAGTAGTGAGGAAACCATAGTTTCTACAAATACTAATTTGTCTGGTATCTGATTTGATTGAGATTGATCAAAAATTGACCTGGCACACAATGGTTTGTTTTATGAATTATGTAGTGAGAGTCATTAACTCTTCTTCTCAGGATTTCATTAATTAAGGCATCATCAGCCCAAGCACATGGATAAAAATGTACCAGCTTGGTACAGTGGTTAAGAGCACAGGTCTGGTACTCAAGTGATTCGGGCTCAAGTCCCTACTCAGCCACGGAGCCACGTGGATGGCTCTGCAGCAGCCAGTCTCAGCCCCTCCTACCTCACAGGGTTGTTGTTATAGGGATAAGACTGAGAATGGGAGGAAGAGAATGTAAGTAGCTTTGAGTTCTTTAAAAGAGGAAAATTGTGGGATACAAACCTAACAATGCTTGTCTACTCAGGAGTAAACATTGCATTCCATGGGCATATTCCTAAGTATAGGATTGCATCTTGAACCTGCAGTCCTGATCATGTTTATCTGGAGGCAAGCTTTCTCAGTGCTAATAAGTTTAGTAGTATTGTTCTATGGTAAATGTAACAAGGTTGAGAAATTGCTTTGCATGGTTGTCTGAAATTCTGTATATTCTCATTATCCCAAATCAAGCTGAAACATATTAAATATTAGGTAAATATTTCTTTATTAAATGATTAATTCCATAAATAAATTCTCTTAATTCATTGAATATAAAATTAAATCATTTACAACTTATTCCAGTATTAGGGTTTTTTCCTCTGAACAAAAAAAGCTACATTTTGATAAATAAAATATTCAGCTTTAAAAAACAACCAATTTCTGTTTGTGGATTATATTATGTAGCTGGTACCTATAGCTGCCATAGATGAGAACTCCAAAAGTGCCCACCTTAGGAAGGAATGTAACCTCCAACATGAGTTTGGAACAACAAATGTATGGTGTTCTGTGGATCAGTAGGGAATAGAAGGTTTTCATAGCCAGAATAGATGGACAAACATATAAACAGATCAGTTACAAACAGAAATCAGTAATCATGAAAGTGCTCCAAAACGAAGCAATAAGATTGCTCCAATACTATGAAGCTTTAAGTATGCCCAAACTGTTGCATTAGTATCCAGTTGCACAGTGCATTCTTGTGTCTCAGTGTTGCCCTCCAATGGGCAAAGGCACCACTTCCTCAAGAGTTCATTTCTCCACTGTTACCTCCAAAAAAAAAAAAAAAAAAAACCTCCTGCTCAAGCCTGAACATAACTTAGTCCTTAAATTTGTGGATGTCATTGAACAGCCGGTAGTTAGGGTAGGCCTCGTTTGCATGGGGGCAATTATAGTTGCATCTGCAAGACTGGATCATCATGACATTCTTCGTGAAGGTTTCTCCGTCATCACAGCGAAACCGGATCTTGACAGTCCTGGTCTGCTGAGGAGTGCAGCATCGGCTGTCAACACACGAGCCACAATACTTGGGCCGGTACTTCTTCACACTGGAACATCCTGCATAAGTGAACTTGACTGGAGCTTGGGATTTCTTGGTCTTGGTGCATTTCTTCCCCTTCTGGAAGAAAGAGATTAACCGCATGGTTAGACAGAACTCTGGCTAAGGAACCCTCTACCCAGAATGACCAGCGAATCATAGTGTGGCTGCAAGGCATCGTATTTACCTTTAAGGAGTCATAACTGGGCTGTCCACATGGCCTCACTTCACATATTCTAGACTCCTTGACTAGTCTGCAGTCGGGATTGTCGTTGGTGACTCTGGTGGAAACACCAGTGCCACAGGTCTTTGAACACTGGGACCACGAGGTTGTTTGCACGATGCATTTTGAATTCTCAAATGAGTGGCTGCGAGGCTCAGGTTCAAAAACTATAAAGGAGAAAGGGGGAAACAGTGTAAATTTTTCACATTTAACGGGTCTTTGTTTCTCTTCTCATTAGTATGCCTAGCAAAACTCTATAGACACCAACAGATAATCCCCACACTATAGAAGTTGCAGCAGTAACCTGCCTCCCCTCTTTGGCACAGGATAGCATAACCCTGATGTTCTTAACTCACCAGGTAACATTTTCAGCCCTCCTTTCACGATGGCTATCAGCTCGTTGTTTCTGGTTAATTCCCCTTCGGAAGTATCCATGCCAAGCTCTTTGCCAAAGAAGCCTTCCAGTTCCTCCAGGGCATCTTTGGAGTCATCGCAAACCCATTCCTCACAGCACTGGCCAGGCACTTTCACCAGCCTTGGGTTGGGGCAGCCCAGGTTAGGAAGGGAGAGTTCTTGTGGGCAGAGAGGAATACAACCAACAGCTCCATCGATGCATGTGCACTGGTGCTTGCAGTTGGGCTGAAAACTCTCTCCATTCTGGTAAATTTTGGAGTTGTATTCACAGGGTCTTCCTTCTGAATGTGCTGCAAAGGTTAGAAAAGACACAGAGTTATAAATTGGGCTCAATCTGCTAAAGCAGGGTGGCTCCCCCCCCCCATTCAATTTATGGTAAAAGTTCCCTACAATCCCCTAGAGCTCTAGGCTAGAACAATAAGTTAGTCAGGAATCACTTTTCCTTATGTGCTGTTAGTGCAGCCCAGACATAGTGAATTGCATTCCAGACTGCTGAAGTCATATGCCCTTCTGCCAATCTACCAACAACAAAGCATAACCATACATGGGCTGAAAATTACTAAACTTCGCCACTGCAAGGACTGGTTGGTATTTCTCTCTCTATATATAAATGCTTTAAAGGAGCCAAGCCACACGCTTCTTACCTCTGCAGATCCCCTTTAGAGCTGTGGAACTGGCACCGAAATTGCATTCCAGCCCCTTGGTGTGATCACAAGGCTGTGTCTTGCTGCAGTCCTCATTGAGCTGTTTAGCACAGACTTTACAGCATCCACAACCGTCCAGAACCAGACCAACTCCTGGGGCACATCTGGGGACCTCCAGAGGGCATTGGCATGCAGCCGGGCAAGAAGAAAGTACCTGGAAAAAAGAAACAAAAGAAAATGTTGAGATGCTAGGTGACATGGGACCCAAACCTGCAGGCATCTCACCTTTGATCATTGCCCGTTTAGAGCTTAAGGCTGCAATCACATACATATTTCAGTTGGAGAAAGTCCCCGTAAACACAGTGGAGCTTATTTCGAGTAGCTACATATACAGTTCCACTGCCAGCTCCTTATACCTCTGTCGACACACATGCAACTCCCCCCCCCCCCCAAGAGTCTGTCGAGTTCTCCCGAGCCACAATATAAACCTTGATGAAGAAGAGAGGGCTCGAAATCCTCTCCAAGCGCAAGAAAGAAGAGGGGAAGAAGTCTCAGCAAGTTTACAAAAGCGAGCACCTACCCTGTTCACTAGCTGGAGGAAGGCAAGAGCCAAGACGAAACAGCTGGTTGTCTGAGGGTTCATCTTTGTTTTGTTCTGAGAAGGACCTTTTCCAACAACGCGAACCGAGCTGGAGCGGGACAAGAGGGCGCCTACCAACTCCCCCGCTTCGAAACTGCAAGACTCGGGTTCCCCAACGTGGCTGCTGCTTCCCCCAGAGAGAGACGAGTCCTGGAGGAGTGATAAAGCCTCGTGGCTCGTCTTGTTTCTTTTCGGAGGAAGGGACGGAGGAGACACCGGCTGCCTTGCGCTGCTCGGGCTGCGTTTCTCGGGGTTCTCTTTGCCGTCTGAGAACGCACCGCGAGCGAGCTGCCTTATATAGCGCGCCGCCGCCGCGCCGCCGCCGCGTGCTGCAGCTGCACTGACGTTGAGCGTTCCAGAATTCTAAAGCATCAGGAATTCTAAAGCATCTCAGGAATGCTTCCTTGGCGCGGTTTGCATCCAAGCTCCTCCCTGTCTAAGCTGCACTTTTTTTTTTGTCTCCCAGCAAGAAAACAGACTCTCCTTCCCAACATTTTAAATAATCACAGATACATCTATAATACTTGGCACACACGCTCCTTGCCAAAAAAAAAAAAAAAAAAAAAAAGATTCAGAATGTTATTGATCTTCCTTCGCGCCACGCCGCCCTCCTTTCCCCCTTCATAAGAAACTTTCTCCACTTACACCCTGGGAAACAAGTGCGTTAGGCGGATTGTTCCGGTATGTTTGCTGAATAGCTTATATGCTATTGGAAAGATTAGAAGGATCGCAAGCTGAGCGAAGGGAAAAGAAACGGGGAGGAGGGGAACAGCTATCCCAATCTGTAAGACATTCGGATCTGTTCCCGCGCTGGAATGAAAGGGTGTCTCCCAAAATAATACCCAGATGGCGTAGTTTAAACTTTTTTATGAATGGGGCATATGCAAAAGGAACTACTCCCTGTTGGCTGGAGGAGTTCCAGGCGAGAGCGGAGGAGGAATGGAAGAACTCCTCTTGCCCACTTAAGTTTTTGGGTTATGGAAAAGTGTTACCTTAGGTCATATGGTTACCTTGCTCGTGGAACTGCAGTTCCCACTACTCGATATCATAACCAGCAGGTAAACAAGACCACCAACCACCTTCCTGCACCTACAATTCATTTGCCCAAGTTCCCCTTCAAGCCCAGTCCGCTTCACATTTTGGTGGCTCAGAAAAACAGATCCTCTGACTACCGTATAAGCATTCCTATCGTCCATTGAAAATAGATATCTTTGCATCCCTGCCTCCCAAAACACGGGAAGATGTTTTCCTCTCAAATAGTGTCCTAAGCGAGGGATCTGCTTCTCTGACCTCTCCACTTTTTAAGAGTGCAATCCTTTGCGTCCTATGTTTGGACGGAAGGCCTACAAATCCCAGCATTCCCCTGACTGGGGCACACTGGGAGTTGTAGGCTTTTAAAAGCTTGCTCAACGTGCATAGGATTGTACTTATATCGATTTGAATCTTTACATTCTCAAGGTATTGCAAGCTTGTAGAGACAGTGGAAAAGAAACTATTTCAAAGAAGCAACTTTTCTTTTATTCCTGCCGCTTGATCTGCTTTGAAGAAGGGTGGTGATTAGGGTCGTTTGGAGAATCTGCTAAAATGAATGCAAAACTGGAAGTTATTCCTATGGAACAGTGAACTTTCATTGACCTTCTGCAATTAATGATAAGCAATTAAAATAAAGAATGCCTAAACTGCATTTCCAACTTAGGCAGTTGTAGTCAAAGTTACTATTACATATTCTTAAATTCCCTTTCTATCCATGTATAAATATATAATAGCTAGTTTGCATCTTATACATCTGTTTGTTTTTAAATATGCTTATATTTGCATTATGGTTAAGATGTACAAAAATCCTTACTGGTGTTATAATTTCAGAGAATTCAAATAGCTTGATGAAGGTGAGAATTTCTTTGGGCCCACAAGTAAGCAAAAACAACAGTATCTTTTCAGAAAGCTCCCTCCTCTGCAGTTCTGCTGTTTATTAGGAGATTTAGTTTTTACCTCTACAATTAAGTTTATTTAATATTTTCACTCTTTTGAGGGTTTCTCTCTTTTTTGGGAGGGGGGTTCTTAGCTTCTGTTGTGGCCTCTTATGATTTGACTTCATGGCTGTAAGTATTTCCAGATGGTGATTCAGACACCAGACGTAATAATATTTCCATATTTGGTAGAGCAGTAGCCTGCATTTTCGACATTTTTCTACTCTGTTATCCAACCACAAAGCATTCTTGACAGCTTCAGATGTTGTTAAATATAGACCTCACTTTTGTTCACAGGGCAGGAAATTCTTTGGAATTCCTGGTGGGGTGTATTTTTCCCCGTTCTTCACACAATCTGCCTATTATGGTTTAGGAGAAATAGCACTGGAGGAAACAATTGTGGCTTGCTGATCTGTTAGTGAACAATAATAACATACTCCCTACTTAAGAAAAATACTTTAGCTACCAGACAAGGTTCATTCTAGGTGGTTGCATTTATTTGAATAAGTTATGAATACTTTATTTGCTGCTGCCTTTCAACAAGTGAAAGGCAGAAGAGCAGCTCAGAAGTAGAGAACATTTGCTAAAAACCGATCGCAGATTAATGGAGGGTGCGGGGAGAGAGAGGAGGAATGAGGACATGTGCAGGGGAAAGCAATGTGATCGACCTGGCTGCCTACCATTGCCATACGGTTTGTGTCTTACATGCACTACACTCACAGAGGGTGGCCATTTAGGGGAGGGGAGCTAACCCCTCGCCAGCCCTACTGCTGCTTTGGAGGAGGAAAAAACCCAGACGGTTCGTCGCCTGCTCTTTCCCACTGCTGAAAGGGGTAAACACACAGAGGGAGACATTTCATAGGGTCTGTGAACGTGTTTCAGGGTAAGTGTTGCTCTTGGGTTCTAATTGGGGGTGGGGGTGGGTGAGCAGAGATGTGAGTGCAAGTCTACTAGACATTGTGGCAATCTTTCTTTCTTTCTTATTTTCTTTGTAAGCATAATGTGCACCTTTGTTAAATCCTACAGGAGTTACAGAAATGACAGGAATATTTTTTTCCTTTTAGAGAAAAGTGGTTGGGTGTCTTTACAGCCAGGGAGGTAAGACCAATATAATAGGGCCAGTGTCTTCCACTGAGGGAGGTTTGAAGCGTGTACAGTGGAGTTTCCACAAACATACAGGTTTTGTCTAACTTTTCAAACATGGCTATATTCTGTAGCTGGCTCCAGACACCCACCCCCTCCCACTCCCCACACTTTCTCTCCACCAGGAACAGACATGGGGCTGATGGATAAAAGTCAGCCTTTTGTGGATTCTTTCTTCATCTGCTCTTCCCCTCTTCCAGCGCGCACCCCGCCGCTGCCACCATGAGGCCACACGGAGAAACCATCTGTCATCCCGCGATGTGGCCAAAAGGAGCTGAGCCCAATGTACAATAATTGCATTCCTACAACCCCTCACCCCACGCCTCTCCAACTTGCATGTTCACCCAAAAGGAGCAAATGTTTCTGCACGCAGGCTTCGAGCGCTCTCTCCCACAAGCTGCACACCAGTCGCTGGGGCGCAGAGGCTGTGTGGAAGCAGGAGTGTTGTGCTGCTCTTTGGTTAGCGATCCTAACGTTTGTACCTGGGGGCAGAAAGTGCCGAGGCTGCTCCCCCCTCCCCAGAACGGCCTCGTCGTTGCTTTGCGCTTGCCCTGCGGTCCTTTGCAGGCGGGGTAGTGCTATCTCTCCCCCGCGCCTCCCGCGCTCTCCTCGCCTGGCCTTGCTCCCAGAGACTGGGGGAGACTGCGCGGGGAGCTGCTGTTGCCAAAGTGATTTCCGGCTTCGGCTAAACAAACCCCAGAGGCTTCCAAGCCCGGTCCATATTTGGTGAAAGTCTTGAGGACCTCGTCATCCTTCAGCCCCCCTCCTTGGGATGACGATGCTGCTGCTGCAGGACAGGCGTAGCCGGATCGAGCTCTGTTTAGTACGAAGAGCTCATCGTGGGGTCCTTGAACTGCATACCAGAGATCCAGGTCACTTGGGAATCTCCGGGCACGTTTTCTAAACTTTTCCTGGAGTGCTGCGGGGGTGGTGGTGGTGGAGGAGGAGTGATTACTTCCCTTTCTCTGCCGTGGAAGGAAGATCTCCTTTCGAGTCAGCTAATCTCCAGCTGGAGTATCCTAAGCAATTGCACTTAGATGGCCTCAAGCGTTTGTCATTCCAGCTGAGTTAGGGAGTGGAGTGGGAAATGCTTGGGACTGCAGAGGCCTTCCTGCGTGTTGAGCAGAAAGATAAGATTGCATGAAGTACCTCAGCTGGATTTCTGGGCTAATACAGTAGAGAGGCGGGTAATTTGGAGGATGAAGTTTTTATTTGTGATCACTATTCGGACTGCTAAATAATGTTGGACTGCTGCTCAGGAGACTCAGATTTGGGTCACCCCCACCCCCTCACTGGGTGACTTTGGGGCTGTCCTGAACTTTCAGTCCATGATACCTCCCAGTGTTCTTGGGAGGATAAAATGGAGAAGAGGAAGAAGGCTATGTAATTTGCCTGGGTTTCTTGCAAAATAACTGTGGGAATAAAATAAATTGTGCACCTACTCTGTTGTTTCTTTCTGAGTAAATTGTCTGCAGTAGGAGAAAAGCTGGAAAAGCTGGTTCAGACACTTGAAAGCGCTACCAATGGGAGATTCCATGTTTGTATATGAGACTTGTCTGGAAGTGCTCCATACATAAAGGAAATGAATAATTCAATTGTAAAGTTGACTGACCAGGGTTGCCCAAGTAACTGGAGGAGCAGCATGAGGGCATTGCTATTTGGAGGCTCATGTGGTGTGCAGTTAAAGAAGTGCACCTAACACTTGGAGATACATGAGAATTCTTGATTCATATATTGTATACAATCCAAGAGTCGGCCCCAGAATTCTCAGTGATGTTGCAAAAATTTATTTGGCGCACTTTTCTTGGCTCATGTGATACAAGCATTTGGGCAGTACAGTATCTTGATCTGTCCAGTTAACCCACTACAGATCAGTGGTTCCCAATATTTTATAGAAGTCTGGGCCAAGCCTCTATTTGTTTACCCTAGTTCTTCAATTGTTTACGATGCTCTGAGCACATGCACGTACTGCCAGTTGTACTTATAATTGGCATGCTGACATCCCAATGGCAAATTTTCCTTTGGATTTTAGATGGCTCCTTGATCCAGAGTTATACAACCTCAAAACTGACACATAAGGGAATAGGAGTTTTAAAAAGAGATCAAAGGTGGTAATGTCATGAGGAAGATCCTGCCAAGATAAATAAAAGACCTCCTGCCTCAATGGATGGATGCACCCACAT